ACATATTCACGCCCTATCATCTATCCTGACACGAGTTCTTGCAACTATGATCTTAGCCCTAAGTAAATGGAAATCACATGGTACAAGAAGTATCATAAACAAGAATAATATGTGTTTTGAATATTTTACATGAATTGTTACGTGTATCATTTCACACTTACTTCTTGCACTTGCTGTGCACTATCTTGTAGAAAATAAAATTTGGCGGGAACCCACACACATCCTCCTCAGTGCAAAGCCATCCATGAGCATCCTTGTGTTCTCTCCAACCTGTGGACAAACAAAACAAAATTAGAATTGTATACTCCACACAGAAACTTGCTCCTCCCCATGTTAAGTTACTTGTACTTCATGCAAGTAACGGGGAGTAGCAAGTTACTCTGAAACATGAAATGCTGTAGGAAAGATTTTGCAAGTTACAAATAAACTTAACTGTCTACAAATAGTACCAACTATTCATTTTCAGCAGTGATAAAGACCTTAATACTTACTGCCCCCCCCTCGTTATATTACTTGCACCTGGTACAAGTAACTTTGGAGCCAGGGTAGCATAGTCTGTATAGCAACTGGCTATGGGCTGGACAACTAAGGGTTTGGAGTCCCAGTAGGACAAAAATTTTCCCTTCTTCAAATTGTCTAGACAGGCTCTGGGGTCCGCCCAACCTATCCAGTGAGTCCCAGGGATGAAGCTGACCATTCACCTCCAGCTAGGGCTGAGGTCAAGAAAATGTGGATCTATACATCCACTCCCCCATACGCCTTTGTGGCATAGTGCTTAATTTGTTGAGCGCAGGGACATGTAACTTAAGATGGGGCAGCAAGTTGCTCTACTGCATATCCACACCAAAGACTGAATTTTTTGCAAGGACAAGTACCATGTTCCCAGTTTGTATGGCAATAACCATAACTTCAAACTACATTAAATCACTGTCTGGTTACGACACAAATTTGTAACCCTTGAATGGGAGGGGAATATGTTGAATTTCACATTAAAGCTATTACCACTTCATATACATGTTTCTGAACTGAAATGAATTTAAAACAATGCTTTCACAATTACTTCCGATTTTGGATTTGAAAATTTTTGGAAATTTACGTAACTAACGGAACCTATCAAAAATCTTCTTCTTAGTTGTTAGAGACACAGACTACTATAAACTGTTGATCCTCAGGGACCTACTTGTGCGATACATTTTCTCCCAGGCACATGGTCTCTGAAGGCTATTTATAAATCAGAATTACTTGACACTACACATTCTCTATAAGATTCCTGTATTTCTAAATGTCACCTTCACTCTTACTGGATTCCCTGTAGTCTGTTTCCAGCTAGACGTCCCTAACATATACACCTTTGTTCTCTAAGCCCTTCACATTCCTTCTCAGGCATTCCCATACAGTGAAGACTACTTCTCGGGAGAGAATTCACCAAGCTCTACATATTTATTCATGGCAATTCTAGCAAGTTATTTCTAGTTAGTTTCTCCATAGGCTCTATCCTTCTCTGGAGTCTTTTTCTTATCTATGGAAAATCCCATAAGACCTACAAATTTCATCCAAAGTACATTCATTCCCTGGGCTCAATTTCAAATCATATTATGTTGCCTCCCAGGCACTCTACATTCCCTTGAGTCATTTTTCCTATAGGCTCGTTCTAGTCAGATTCGCTAAACCCTTTGTTTTATCGTAAGTACTTCCAGATACTCCGTTTTCCACAGAGTCTGTATATGGTGAGAATTCCCTAAACCTATTCAGTCGAAGGTAAAGCTCTACCTGTAACTGGCAGTCGAGGCTCCCACATTTTCTAAACAACTGGCTTACAGAAGGCAGTAAGGTTGCCAGCCACCCTTTACCCCCCAGGAAGATTCCTGGTACTCTTTTCTGTTAAGAGGCTGAGTCAACCCCAGGGCCATAGTGTGGCTGGAAGGATTAGGTCAACTGAAAAATTCAATGACATTGAGAATCGAACCCACAACCTTCCAACTTGTAGCATAGTGCCTCAAACAACTACACTACAATGTGCCCCTTTACACAGTACCCTCATTTTTCTGAAGTCTACTTCCAGCCAGGATAAGGATTCCAGAAGCGTTACATATCTTCATATACACTTCAGTTTCCATGGACTCTAGTCAGGGTCTCCTATGAACTGTACAATTGCTTCAAGACAATTCCAGTTCTCAAATCTTTCTAGTTAGCATTCACTATACATTTTTTCCCTGGAGTGTATTTACTGTAAGGATTCACACTTACTCTCAGGCACTACCATTTCCCTGGACTCAATTTCTAGCTACCATTCCATCTCAAGCACCATTGTTTCCCCAGTAGTACAACATCTCCGCTCCTCTTTCTCTGGAGTCTCTTCCTAGCTACAATTTCATTATCTTTTGTCCAATGAACTCCCTTTTCCGTGGGATCTAGTTCTGGTCAATATCCCTTAAGGACAAATAATATCTAACCCTATGAAGGGGGACTAGCTTTTTAACATTGGGTTTCTATTCACAACACATGAATACCATGGCCAATATCATGTGTAAAATTTAAAACTATGTCTCTTTATAATGTTGTATTTTAGCGTCCTGTTGCACTGATTTTCATCCATGATACGTATGTAATGGCTGTCTTGTAATGCACTCAATTTCATGTCGCATCTTACTACATGTCACACACACATCCAACATTACAACGCTCACAGCCAAAAAGGAAGGACACAGACACAGTACACACAGAAACGACTCCCATAGTGGACGAACCATACTATACGCGAGTATGAATTAAGACATATAGATGAATAATCTTCAAGTTTTAGTATATACAAATTTTATTATAGTTGACGAATAATGTACTTTCTAAATAATTTTATGAAAGACACAAGATGGCAAACAATGTAACAGCTTAGTGTAAATAACAAACCTGAAGATGGCACTATGTTGCCGAAACATGTAGTAAGAAGCGACATATGAAATTGAGTGCACTACAAGACAGCCATTACATACGTATCATGGATGTCTCTTTATATTAATATACTGACTCTGCCACATCCTATTTCAGAAACGTAGTACCTATCTGTAGCGTACTACATTAAAGCCCTTATGACACATGCGATGATTTAAAAAAAATGTGACTTAGTAACACTGAAACTGAAATGCTAATCAAGTGAAATGATGCAACATTACAATTAACTTTCTGAAGTTCAGATTCTTACCTTTTCAGGAAACCCTTGACCCCATTCTGAATTTAATCCAACATCTCTGATGCCTATATCCTTGTCATGCATCCTGCCCAAGCTGTAAACAAATAAGACACAAAACTTAGAAACTGATATTTTAACATTTCAGAGAAGCTTTTACAACTTTGTCTCAAAACACACACTATTGCAATACTAGGGTAATTAATTTAAACATTCATTTGAACAAACTTGGTTTCCATGGTGAATCCATAAACAAGGAATTGCAACGAAACCTTCTCAGGTGACTAGCCATCTAAAAACCATGTTAATGTCTGAGACTGTTTGTCTCAAACATCAGGGGCTCATCAAATGAGTGATCCGAGTATCCTCTCAGAGTTTCTGGTGTCCTGGCACAGGACTCTTAGTCATTACATTAATCCCGGACAACGGACAAAGAGCCAGGCTCTGAAATGTTGGACACTAACTCCATCATTCACATAGCTCAGCACCCAAGATGACTTACTTGGCCACGCCATAGCTCAAGCGGTTATTCGCTGGCTTCCCACCGCAGTGGCCCAGGTTCGATCCCAGGTCTGATCAAGTGGGATTTGTGGTGGGCAAAGTGGCGCTGGGGCGGGTTTTCTCCAAGTACTTCAGTTTCCCCTGCCAATCTTCATTCCACCAAATTCTCCATCATCATAATACAATAGGCCAATCAGTGGCCACCATGCCAAGTGGACCCAGTTGGACTCCACCCCCCACTAAGCAAACTTAAAAACAAAAAAGACTTGCTTCAAATCACACAAGGTGGTTCAAATATGACCGGGACTGATTCTTTTTTTTAACCAAAATTGCCAAACACTTACTTGCACATGTCAGTCTCCAACGTACTCCCCTCCCAAGTCAACCCATTTTTTCCAACGTTCTGGAAGCATCCTGATGCCCTTTTCAAAATGTTTTGTGGTTGGCGGCGTATCCACTCCCGAACATTCTGGATGACAGCGTCGTTGTCCACAAACTGCATGCCTTGCAAGTCTGATTTGAGCCTTCCAAACAGGTAGAAATCACTTGGTGCCAAATCGGGACTGTACAGTGGATGTGTCTGAAGGTTCCAATTCAATTTCCGGAGGGTTCCCATTGTTGTTTTGGCTGTATGGGGGCGTGCATTGTCTTGAAGGAAGGCTACCCGCTTTCCACCCCTCTTCTGCTTGCATCGGATCTTTTCCTTCACATCTGTTGCCAGGAGGTCTGAGTAATAAGCTGCATTGACTNCAGCATTGCTCCAAGTTCCTTGATAGTGATGCGCCTATTCTCACGAATAAGTGCGTCTGCACGATCAATGTTTGGCTTGGTGACGGATGTTCGCGGCTGACGATCATGCGGTTCATTCTCCATGCGCTCTCTGCCCTCTCTGAAGCACTTACACCACTCAAACATATGGGTCCGTGCGAGACACTCTTCCCCATACTGTTGTTGGAGTCTATGGTGAATTTCAGTGGATGGGATGTTTTCTCCAATGAGGAATTTGATCACAATGCGTTGTTCCACGCTCCGCGGTACCTTCTGTTCACTCATCACTCTAGCAACTTCCAGACAGGAATGAACAGGTTCTAACCCTAACAGGAGGCAGGGTGGAGGTTGTGACTTCACTCTCTCAAGGTCGCACAGCTGCTGCGCAGTGCAGCTTGTTTACAAAGAAATCAGTCCCGGTCATATTTGAACCACCTAGTACAAAATACAGAAAGGTTGAATTCCATCAAGTGTAACTGCTTTATACATTTCTGCCACTAGTGGCCATCTTCAGGAGCCAAACCAGCACTACTAAGGAAAATGTTACAATATAATTGAAGGGGCTAATGTTAGGTGTTGATATTAAAACTAAATAGTTAGAACCAATTGAAGTAGACTGGATCACTATGATGTAAGTACATATATCTTCAAAATACTATGTGTATAACAAAATATGGAGGTATTTACACCAAAGCAGACTCAATTATCTGCGTGCAGATCATACACTTGCCCATTATATTTATTTCAAAAATGTGTGTGTGCCAATACAGCAAACAGGAGAAGAAATTTGACGAAGCCTACGCATGGTCTTCTGCGGTAACAAACACAGAGCTACTCGCGGCTTATAGCATTTTGAAAGATCATTTCTAAATATGAAATTGTGGATTTAGGATCATCTAATTATTAAATTAGGTTTAACCTACTGTTATGTATATGACTGTATCACATGTATGATTTTTATTCTTATTTTATTGTTAATTTTAACCAAAGTCTAGTCTAAGTTTTATCTACACTGTGAATTGAATAGAATCTAACTTGTACGAACCATTTAGAAAAATGGGAATGTTAGCATTGCAGTTCGATAATAGTATGTGTGAAACTTGCAGCACCTGAAGATGACCCATTTGAGGTCAAAACGTAGTGTCCTATACAAATAAATAAATAATAAAGTATTGTTGTGTTGACAGTAAAATCATACATGTTCATGTATCGGTGATGCTTTATAACAATTTGCAATAGATTGTACATCTAACCCTGTTGCAACCTTTTTTTTTTTTTTTTTCTTTTACACTGGCCTGCTGCTAATGAACAATGGTCCCTTTCCTCTGCTGGAAAGATATGCGTGCCACTGTTTGGCTACCAGTAGATTTAAGTGTCTGAAGTAATTTTTAGGGTTGAATGCAGCATGGATAGTGGGTACTTCAGAATTTTCGATTATCCATTGTTTTTAATTATCCACTCTATTTACTATATGCCCCTCAACCCTTTTCAAAATGCCTCTGAGTGAACTGTCCAATTAATCGGCTGTCCAGTTCTAATGTTGAAAAGCATTTGACAGGATACATACCTTTAGTATAAGGGCTCATAATGGTTGCACTACACAGGGATGATGAACTTCCTAAGTGCTACATGCTGAAGTTGAAGATCAGTCACATTCTTTGTAACCTGGTACAGCAATTTCTTCACTGATGCCTTCTCAAGACTGCCAACAAAATATATCAACTGTATAAACCACTGCTGTTAATCATAATCCAACTCGTTTAAGTGTCTGCAAAAATTTATTATATATAAATTCAAAATGACCCTCTGGTACTTTCATCATTAACAGTTGAGCCGGGGTAGCACAGTCAGTATAGTTACTGCCTATAGGCTGGACGACCAAGGAGTCGGAGTTCAAGTCCCAGTAGGGTCAAAATTTTCTCTTCTCCATATCGTCCAGACCGGCTCTGGCGCCCACCCAGCCTCCTATCCAGTGGGTGCTGGGGGCTCTTTCTGTGAGGATAAAGCATCAAGGGCGTCAAGCTGACCACTCATCTTCAGCTAGTGCTGAGGTCAAGAAAATGTGGATCTATACATCAACTCCCCCATATGCCTTCATGGCATAGTGCTTAATTTTACCTTAATCATTAATGGGTGATTCCCAAATGTCTCTGTTTTTCTGCAGTTCTTTACACCAATTATACTTGCAGCCACCCTCTGTCACACAAGTATCTAGGAGAAATTCTGCATTCCAGAATCTGTGAACAGCTTACCCCTTAAAGTTTTAACCACTGAGAAATGTATGTCACAAAACATCCACTTGACCTTTACCTCCTTGTCACACTGGCTCCCTCTTCCTCTTCCTCTGAGCTTCCCCTGGCCTGGGTGGAATGATGTCCCAGAACACAACTACGCAGATGCACATTTAAGGTCACTTCACATCAACGTGTACTGCATTTTGGTTGGCTCTCCATTCAGTTCAGTAGGCAAGCTCCACTGGCTGAATCCTGCAACTTCTTCAGTGATGCCTTCCCAGCCTGGCAAGAAACAGTGGCAATAACATAAAGCATTACATATTCATCAGTTAAAATCAATCCAGCATAAGGCCTTTAATTTGTGCTCCACGCCATAATGTAATGCAATGTCAATGAGAACACACTATACAATTTTTACTACATAAATTAAAATTTCTCATACTGTGCCCTCTTTAAGTGACAGAAAACTTTGTGGCCTAAAACAGAGTACAGCTTGCTGTAGCTGCAATGTGCTACCATATGCAACATCGAGACAGCTGAGGGTTCAATTTCAGATCAAAACTGACATATAGTTAATAATATCTTGCATAGATGACAAAAACCATCAAAGCCTGGATAAAGGTAAAGTCCCTATGCTTAATTAATTCAACACCACACCATGAAAATGTATGGGGGAGTAGAGGTATAGCACCATCATTCTTGAAGAATGTCTTTTGGGATGTGGCACCATGTACATCTTGTGTGAACCAATGCTGGTTCCTCACTTGTGGATTTCTCTACCCTGCAGATGGAGGCAATACGTTCCTCCGAAACGATGGTTCACACAAGATCTACGTGGCACCACATCACAGAAGACGGCATTCTTCAGTCACCACTGTGAAAACCCCAAATCTTACACCATCATTCTTGAACTCAGCACTAATGGAGGTGAGTGATCAGCTTCATGCCCTGGCCACTTTAACCCCAGCGAAAGAAGCCCGAATACCCACTGAACAGGAGCCTGGGTGAGCCCCAGAACCGGTACAGACATTACAGAGAAGAGAAAAATCTCGTATTTCTACCATAAATCGAACCTTGGCTGTCCAGCCCATAGCCCGTCACTGTATCAACTGAGCTATCCCTACTTTTCAAAGTGTGGATGCTTTCAGAAACTCTGAACAAAATACACTGTTACATGTTAATGACCAGACACTGGGTTTGAGATGGTAATTGGATTTACTAGACAATTATAATGCTCTCACTAATTCACGCACTCTGCTTCTCACTGCAGCAGCATACACTAAGTCTTCTATGTCTTTGCTGGCCGTTGCCCGGTAATGAATACCAACAATATCCTCTGCTTATGTCCTCCCTGTCTCACAACTAAGTCATGCATCACTAGCCATCACTGACTACTCACTGTACAGCCAAGAAGAGGACCAGATAGAAAATGTTTCCAGTAGTTCCTTTATTGCTGCGATTTTGTCATGGAAAATTGTTTATCGAGCTGTTTTTGTCAGTCATCATGTCACAATATATTTACAGTACAATAACGGGGATTCTAATACCTCTGCAACAGCTCATTACAAGCCTCAAAATTCATGATTTTCATTTGCAATTTGGTCCTTTGGCCCAACACTGCATTCAAAAAGGAAAGCTTCATAGAGTGAACAACAATTCCCTCATGGCTGATAAAGTAACTCATCTAAGGAGATTATGGTGAACACTGCCTCTGCTTCTTGTGACATCATCACATTCTGGGAGCTTGAAGTGAATGTCATTATGACACAGACAACATTAGATCTGTATTCCACAGATAATAATCACAGAGTAGGAGAATTCACTCGAAGGCAATGTTCCCTCTAAAATGTCTGCGGGGCAGCTGTCACACTCCCGCACACTTTTATTAGTTAAGTATATAGTCAATTTTAATTTTTTTT